AAATTAGTAGGCTTAGGGACCCAGAAGAGTGTGGAACTGCTGTCATCCTGGATGAGAGTACCTTTTGTGAGGAAAGACTAGGGCAAAGTAAATTACATCGTGAGGCCTTCTCGTTGTGGGAACAATTGAATTATCTGTCCTTTGTCATCATATGCGACCTAGGGTGGCCTCAGCTCCTTTGTTGCTTAGTGCGAGCGGCTACTACGCACCCTGCTTTCTTTAATAATTCATCCTGGGTGAGATAGAACTGTCCCTACAGATGGGTGTACAACGCTATGATAAAACAGTTTGTGTTATCCCTCCAGTGGTAGGGCTGCTATTTGTGTCCGTCTTTGTCGCTGTCTTGTGTGGATGACTATCATAGGCATGTAGCCTTTGACAGCGACTCCGTGCCAGTCCAACCGAAGAGTATACACATGTTGAGTATGCCGCGGACTTATTGGCTATATACACTGGGTATTGAAAAGAAAAAAGAGTGTGATACTCAGGCAGAGGGAGTTCCATGTGATGGGTCTACGAGCCGAGGCTGGGAGAAAACATGAGTTCAGTGGCTAAGGCGGAGGTAGTGCCAGACTGCATACACAAGGTCAGGGACATTGCACTGTTCGCTTTTTCATTCTGAATCATCATATTCTTGCTCGGAGTCCATTCCTTTTTCTTACACTGTTTCCATTGTCCGCAGCCTTGCAATGCTAGTGGCCTGGAGGTTGGCAGGTTACAGGATTTCGATGCTCTTGTGTGGAAGAAAATTTTGTAAGTGGGTGACCAGTTTTAGTCAGCTTCTACACTTTACATGAACACAATGACCTTTTAGCATGCCTGGTAGATTGTGGAATTGATGAGGACGAAAGCCATTACCGATGCTGTATGAGAATTTAGAAATTAGCATGTACTCTTCATCCAGTGCTTGTCGTCCTGTGTATTCTAATTTATTTATACTTGCTTTAACTTGATTTCAATTGGGAACTAATATGAGATAATCTACTTGCATTGTTTTATCACCTTCATTATCTGGAAACTCCATCATCCTAATTAATTAAGACATAATGCTGGACTTGGTGTGTTTTAGCGCACTTTTGGCTTCCACAATTGAACCTGTATTCCTGCCATAATGCAAAGAGATCTCATTTATTTTTGATTGCTTTTACAATTACTAACCTTTTTTCGGCTTTGAAGCCGAACTTTATTCATCTTATTTATAAAAACCGTTTTTAATAACTTGTTATTGTGATCAGTCTCTTTCTCTTTCGAAACCTCCTCTCCGTCAGCCATTCCATAACTTATTATTGTCTATTTCAAGATCTAGACAATGGACTAAAGGCCTCTCTTGAACGATCAAAAAACTTAGCAAATACCCTGCAACAAATGGGTAAAAAGTCACAAAAATGTTATGCTCCTCAGAGGGCCTCTTCTCAGTCCGTCTCCAGGCTTTCTTTCAAATCGCCTGGTGTGCTCTCCTCCCCCCCCACGGGTACCGTCCAGTCGGCCGGTTTCTTACTCCGTCAGCCCACGCAAAATGGTTCTGCCCTGAGGTCACCGTCTCTCTTGCCGACATATGTGTCTCCGACCTCCGCTGGTGATGTGACCGCTCGACCCTTCTTCTCTAGCCGCCCTGATTTGCTCACCGATCTGGGCAGGTCGCCAGCCGGAGGGTCGTCGAGCAACGCGGTAAGCGGAACTCGTTTACTTACTAGCGCTGGTCCGAGTCTCGCGGGTCCAACGTCCGGACTCTCTCGTTCAAAAGGCCTTTCCGCCTCGCTGTCTAGCCTATTTCAGGGCATCGGACGGAGCCGAAAGTCGTCAAAGGACAGTGATTACCGAGCGGGAACTAAGCTGAACTATGGAATTGCATATCATAATCCTGACGCTGCTGAATTGCGGGTTCAATTGAGGCAGATGCAGCAACGTCAGATTCAGTCGATGACCACTCGGCTACGATTAGTCCGTGCTCTTTGCCACATTGAAGCTCAGGTCGAGTATATGTCAGGCACTCTCAAATGCTTGGTGCTTGGCATTTCTGGCTTTTCGCGCCTCTGTGCCGGTGACCTCTTTGAAGTACACATGCGGTACGCAGTCCCCGAAATTCAAGTCGACCAGAATAACTATGACTGGCTAGAGTTGGCCAGCCGGCAGCTGCGACAGTCCAAAGCCTCGACCACTTCTTCCGGGGCATCTGCAGCCAACTCCGGTGCAGTCCGCAGGAGTCAATTGATGACTGTCGACAAGTGGCGCATTTGTGGTCGTATTTTGTCACCTCGTGAGGCTAGAGTTCGCTCAAACGAGGGCTCTTTATATCGGGCTTCTCGGTTTGATTTTAACACTCTTTACTCACGTCTCATGCTCGAGGAGGTCTACTCCACCGACACGGCCTCGAGTTTAACACATAACTTTGAATCATCTTCCCCTA